TATATATATATATATATATATATATATATATATATATATATATACATACATTCCTGTCTCATGGAGGGGGGTATTGCGTTGAGCATCGTATATTCACTGACGTCACTGTAAGACACTTGATACTCAGCAAATATATACTAGTATACTGACTTCATTGTGTGGTGGGATATGCTGATCAACGTATATGCATTGACTTCCCTGTGTATGGGGAGGGGGAGGTGTGTGCTGAGCAGCTTATATACGGACGTCGCTTTATGTATGGAAAAACATATTGCACTAAACAGCGTATATACACTGGCGTCAACTTGGCGGTATTAGACTGAGCTATACACAGCTATTCACTGTCGTCACTATGTGTGCAGGGGAAGTACTGTGATGGGCAGAGTATATACACTGACGTCACTGTGGGTGATATTATGCTGAGCAACTTATATATACAGGTCATAGGGGAATTAACGTCGTGACTCTATGTCACGTTTGCTTGAGGTACAGGATCGGAAAAGTCACTTAAACTTTACAGTCAAATAGACAAAAATAGAAATACGTTTTAACTCTCGTCTTTAGACGGACAGTCGAGTATTCTATAAGACTGCATTTATCAAATCATGTGCCTCAAGCTGGTGGAAAAATCTCAATGTTCAAATAAAACATGACATGTCATAGCCCTCCCCTCAGAAAACAATGTAAAACTGATATTGGTTTGTGTCAGAGTGAATTTATCCATTATGAGCTGTACTAAAGTTTATTTATTAATTGTTCAGAATTGATGTGAAACAATTTTAGGGGATGAGGTAAACAAATAATAATTGTCTCAGACGAGCTAAATAAATAACTTGAACAACATATAAATAACGCGATGTGTTCATTCAAAATATATTCAATCAAACAAGTCAGGAATGACACTGCCTTCGCTTGTTGTCATTTAAAAGTTGCAACATATAATATAATCACTTGTTGGCACGGACACACATTGGCAAACGTGATTTCTATGATATTTTCAAGTTTATAGCACACTCCATCCCGGTCAGCATTATTCTCAGCAAGAAAACCAGATATAAACAGAACAGTAAAACGACAAGTAAGTATGCAAATCAGATCTGAAAAGAGTCTGTGTTGTGTCTGTTTGGACACACTTTCTTGTACATCTGTATTCTAATACAAGGACACTATCAATCACCGAACTGTTGCAGTAAAAAAAAACTATGACATTTTTGACAGTACCAGGGTAATGCTACTGCTTGTCATACAAGTACTAGCACCAGATGAGGAACTGCGAAACTGCAATCATCCTTGGTGTACAGTACCTGTAACAATAACCCTACTTACCGGTTCTTTACATACATATCTACATGTAGTTTGTGTCCGAGGATTAGTTTCAATATCTCTAATAAGGACAAGAGTACTTCTCATATGACAATGATACATTAAAAGTGCAAGAATCTAGAAAAATATTATAAGTTTTTATTACCACATATTAGTATTAACAAATCGTGTGAAATTGAACTTCTATGTACAGAGAATATTCATGGTTTGGTTGACAGCACTTCTCAAAGTAAATAAACAAGGCCTGCGAAACTTTATACAATTGTAAAACGCGCAGCGATAGTATTGTTTTGTAATACATGCAGTTCCGGTGACTTTGCTTTCTGAGAACAAATTCTGGCTCTGCACCTGCGAAAAAAACACACACACACAAAAAACAACAACATTTAGTCAAAAGTAAGCAGAGGTATGTGCTCCCATTTGCTGTTAAATTTAATTAAAACAGACATTTGTGTACAGAGTATTTTGAGTACGAACACATATTATTCCAGCCAGAAAGAAATTGCAGTTTACACTGTGCTATTTTTAACATGTTCCACCAAAGTCTGGAATGAACTAATTCCCCAGTCTGTTCTACTCTACAAAGTTGTCAAATTAATATTCACGGGATTCTGTACACAAAAAATATCAAGGATGTGCATAATTCCAGAGTACTTGTGTTTTCAATGTCATTAAAATCTGACCACAGATATGCAGAAAATTTCACCACAACTAAAACAAATGGGTGCCAAGATATCTAAAGAAATAAAAAATCATTTTGTTAAAAATACAAAAAAATAATACATTTAATATAAACACAGATGGATTTGCATAACAAACTAATCAGCATAGGCAATGTGCATGTAGTAAGTGTATGCCAACTTGGTAACTTACTTGGTAATGACTTGAAAACTTTAAAAGTTTTAACCTCACAGTGAACATTACTACAGTCGGTCCAAACGCTCTGACGATATTTTCCCTTTAACAACCTCTTGAAAAATGACTGACTACACACACTGTATAGTTTAAATATGGTTATTAAATATATTCCTCGACACGGGACAGATACATGTACTTTTTATACTTACATTGGTTGTATTTCAGCTGCTTCAAAATGTTTTATATCAGAGCAAATATCTTACATATGAAATTTAAGAATATTCGATGATAAATCTATTGATAAATTAAGGGTAACATGCAACAACGCATTTAACGAGATTTGATTTCTATTCCCACATTTGAAAATGCGCCGTTATGCGCCCGACCATGTTGTTTCTGAGATGAGTCTATTGTACAGGAATTGATCTAAAGCGGGTGTGTTTGTAATATTCTACTTTGTGTGTTCTTATGGGATTTGTTATTTGTCCCGAAATAAATAATAAATAAAAATAAAATGAATATATCGTCACCGAGAACTGACGTACCAGACGGTACACAAAGAAACGTCAACTCCACAATCTTTAATATAATCTACGTCAGTAAAAACAAACGTATACGAATTAGCGTATTCATATAAATATGTTGAAGTAGGATATCCCTGAAATATATCAAAGAAAAAAATAAAACTTGACCTCAACTAATGATTTTAAATGTGCTAATAAATTCCTCAATAAATATTGATGGCTATGTTCATGCATGATATGGTGGGTGTAGTATACGTCTATAATAATATGCCTATTCACTTAGTCCGTTTAGACCCCCTACTTGAGTTCTGGTATTTCTCGTTATTTGTACATATAGAACGTCTACGAGCGAAAGTGCTGACGTCAGGTAACAAGAGAATATGGAACACAGTATGAGACTTTGACTGAATATTTG